GCTTCTGCACTTCTACTCATTTTGTGCCTGTGTTTTGCTTTCGTATCACTTTTCTAGCCTATTAAATAACTACCTGCTGATGTTCTTTTTAGAGCAGCATCCTTACCATTTCACTATGTCTCCCCCCCTTTGTACACATACATTACCTTACCGAGGAGATGGTTATTTGCAATACGCTTTAATCAGGATGTGCAGAATGAAATACCCCAGGAGTAACGGTAGAGCCAGCCCCTTAGCACAGGGGTTCAGTGCTGTGCTTAGGGAGTCCTCTTCCAAAGGGCTGACCCAGATCTGAATCCTAACCCTGGTGGCTTGAAGAAACACCCTGGGTACATGCCTTAATGGGGTGGAGAAACAGAGGAAAAAGGATTGTGATATGTCCACACCGCACTGGAAGGTTCCTCCCAAGGTGGCCTTACCCCAAGTGCAAAAGTCTGTTAGCAATGAAGAAAATAATTAAAGAAAAAGAAAAAGATGGGAATATAAATATTTCATCTGCTTTAAGTTCACAGATGTCAGTATTTCATCACAACGTGAAAATGACCATGGCTCCCTGTGTGTGGTCAGCAGTACAAGGATGTGGGAAGAGCCTGCTTTTGTCGCTGAAGAGACAGATGCCTTGCTATAATCGCTGGGTAATACGAGATGCAGCGGGCTTGTATTTGGAATTAAACGGCAGACTAAGGTTTCTTCCCTTGATTGATCTCACTTCCCTTTCCCTCTAACTCCACCCCGTCCCCTCACTTTCCAAGTGACGCAGAGCAGCGGACCCTGTTGAAAACGTTTGAAGGAATGTAAAAACGGTTTGCGTGTTAAATCACTGACTGAACGCTGCAGGGTTAAAATGTAAGAGGTTTATTTTCTTTTATCAAGCAGTGTCTACAGACAGCATCCACGTGATGTGAGCTACCCAAGAAGGATGTGTGGGACAGACGGACATTGAATCAGTAAGCCACAGACACGATATGTGGTTCATGTTCACAAGGAGGAAAACTGCTGAAAACGAAAGCCGATGCAATCAACAGAAACGTAAGCTGGGTTTTGTGGTTTATTAAATCTACCTCCCATATGTTTCCTAGGCTAAGAAGACGTCTACTGTTTCACACGGCCCCGGATGCTATATACACGTGAGATACGATGCACTATAAAATTGCAGGTTTCTAAGCACTTTTACACAATTTAAACTTGAGTAAAATTTGTGTTTAAAAAAGACCTTTTTGGATTACCTTCTGTAAATGGAGGTCCTTTCAAAGCCTGTTAGCATTTCTAGCAACAATCAAAACTGAAAGAAGCCGAACGATACTGAAAACATGTGAGCTATTACTGTAAGCCTGGATAATTATCTGCTTGTTCCAATAAACCAGCTCTAGTTTTAATCTACTTCTACAGGTCTTAGTTGCGCTTAGACAATGAAGCCACACATTTTATTTCTCTGCGGTGTCTCAAGTAGGAGGGTTAGTTAGGTTTCAAACTACGGCCCACGATTAGTGAGAAGGTCATTTCAGGATTTTGTGGGAGTTGAGTAGAAGTCATTTAGGGGAATTGTTGGGAATAGAGCTAGCTGATGGGTTTTTCAAGAGCAAAAGCAACGGAGAGGAACATCTTTACACACTTGTGTGGGGCTTCCCCGGGTGCCCAAGTTCTGCTACTAATTCTCCTGACTCACTAACACCCTACTTCATTAGCTCCCTTGCTATTTCGTTTTCTCCTCGGTGTTAACTTCCTTACATATGGTTTACTTTAAGCAGACACGAGTGATAATTCTTTTTCAGAACTCAAATTTCTGATGATGAAAAACTGGGCTTCGTGAACAGAAATGATCTATTCTGCTAATAATGAAATAAACATTTGTTGGAAGTCGATGACCCAGACAAACTCGCATTAAAAATAGAGTGGATACTACTGATGGAAAGCAAAGTAAGCAGATAGCACACTGCAAACATTTTACCCTAATTACTTTCCTCCTTCTCCCCCCATTCTTCATAACATGCTGCACATCACATAGTAAAACCAGATAGAGGTTGTCACAATCTAAAACCAAGATATGCCTTCAAATGACATTTCATCGGGGGTTAGCGAATGACCGAAGGCAGGCTTTGGTGCAAGAGATGTTCAACGTTTAATGACAAGCGAGTTTTCGTGGTGAGGGTGTCCGGAATGTAGCGCTTGACCTTCCTTTCCTCCTGTAACAGTCCCTTCAAGGCACAAAAGATTATAAACAGTGGGTGGGACAGAAGAATCTGAATTAAGAATTTTAAGGTTCCCCGACGCCTTTTATTTCTCATTGAAACATATCAAAAGGACAGAGCAAAAAATAGAAAAACTACCCGCCAAATGAAATTTTGCTTAAGTCATCTGAAACTCTCTACAGTTTTGTCATTTTTTTAAAGAAATTTGAATCCTATTTTATTGATCTACAACATTATATATTTCAATCCTGTGATTGCTGTAATTTCTCATTAAAATTTGTGTTAAATATTTCTAATCAACCGGTATTAGGAATTGCCTATGTCTTTGTCACAAACAATCTATTATATTTGGGCTGACCAAGTAATTTATGTCTGACTAGGTTATAAATCTTGAAAATCAAGCTGTAACGGTAAACAATGGATGGAGTGCCATGTACTGGAAAACTTTCATTCAATAATTAAATAAGAGGCTTCTAGGCATCTCCGACCCAGATGACGGGATTTCCCTTCTCGACCTCAGTGATCTCACAGTTTAACTTATTGAGTCGGCCGTCCAGGATAAAGAGAGAGTCCTTCGAGGGGGTCATGAGGTACTGACCAAACAAGCCACTGCCCTGGATTTGCCTGTTCTTCGGGCTCCAAGGCCACTCTTCTGCTCTCAGCGGCTCCTTGAGGCTCTTGATCATCTTGACCTTCCCGGAGGAGAGTTCCACGAACAGCACGTCCGTCTGCGTGCTCGAACTCCCGTAGATGTTGTACTGGTGCGCTTCCGTGAAGGACGGCTGGAAGGCCAGGTCGGAGATGTGCAGGTTGGTGTGGATCTCAAAGGCCTCCTGTATCTCCCCTCTGGTGGTAATGTACTGGACCCGCACCAGGCCTCTGACATCATTGACGCTGACGAGGTAGTGGCCATCTGGAGAGACATACGGAGTGCCCGTCACATCGCCGTTGAACCCGATGACCGAGTCGGTCACACTGTCCACCATGAGCTGGGGTGGGACTGCCCCAGTGCTGTCTGGTTTGCAGCCAACGAAGTAGTACCCTCCCAAGTGTGTGTATGCCAAGGCCTGTGGGACACAGCCGTAGTCCTTCAGGTTAATGGTCTTGATGTAGGACATGGTTTCAAGGTCAATTTTTTGTAGAGCAGCTTCATCTTTATGAAGAATAAATCCAAACCTGGGAAGATAAAAACCAAAGTTAGACTGGAAGTGGTAGAGCTGTCCCTCAAGGAAGCACATGGACAGGTGAGAAGCCCAGTGGTCACGTCAGGCTGGGAAGCAGTGTGTGCCCCAGTCCTGTTGGCATTAATCTCTAGACGGTGATGCCCTCTCCTTTCTCCAGGTCATTCTTTCATTGCACCCTAAAAATTAAAACTCATGCTGTACAAAACAAAATAATTACAAGCAATATATCTAGTTAATTGGAACAATAAATTTTGCTTTTAAGAGAGAGAGGAATAAGTAAACATTATGTTGTGGGTCTCTAACCCTTCTGCAATTGAACAAGCTTGGTTAGCTGCTACTTAACCTGGGAAGAGTGAAAATCTTGAATAGTTATCTATTTTATTTGCTGCCTACATCCTCTTATGACCATCAAATAACGTGACACTCATCATTGTTTAGGTTATTCACATCTTTCTCATTTTAATTCACATCAAGAGACCTTAATGGATGTGGAATTTTTCATTATTGTTTTCTGATATAGAACTATTAGACTTCTATTTATCACATTATAGGATTGCCTTGATAAACTACCTCATGGTTTCATATTTATTTATTTTACTTTAGATTTTAAGTATAGGGCACATCTTCAATTTTGGCACTTACATATCACTTCCAGTACTAGGCTTACATTATATTGCTTACCTCCTCTAGAACAAAGAATGACTTCGGAGATTTATAGCATTATCTTAGTGAAGGCAGTTTAATGTATTTTTGTTTAGTTTTGTTTTGTTTTCATGGCCTCTCTAATTAGCCCAGTGCTTTTCAAAGCATTTGTCCTGAATATTGGCTGAAAAACATGAGAGGTCCCTGTGGCAAGTATAAATACACTTTGAAACTCTGAACTGTAACACAGGCAGCTTCCTAGCACATGTGAGTAAGTTAAATAAGAGACAAGGGGATCCACAATGGATAGTGATCAACAGGATTCAATAAATGCTTATTTTTATGTTAATGCTATTTTTAAAGAATTATTTAATTATACTTCTTCTTATTATTATTTAATTTTCTATAGAGCACGTGCACTTACCAAAGAGAAGCAGAGAGAGAGAAGGAAAGTGAGAAAGCAAGCTGCCAGGTTCGGGACTTGAACTATGGTTGGCCATGTGGGAATCCAGTTCTCAAACACCACATCTACTGGCCCCAGTGTATTACTAGTACTGATTACATCACCTCTTAATACTTCTAGGAACTTGCAAAACTAACAATCAAAGAAATACTGTTTTATTGACAATGATCATAAATTAAAACGTAAGACAAGATTATTGTGAGAATTAAGATAAAGCAAAAGAAGGAAATGAAAATTCTAAAAAGCCAGCTATGTTATTGTCACTTGTGTAATTGCATTTCTGTATGCTAATTATCACACAGTTTTATTTATGTAAAGATAAAATGAGCATTCCCATACCCAATACAAAAATTGATAATATGGCTTTTCAATTTTAAATATATAAAATGTTTGACAAGCTAAAAAACATAAACATATATATTTAATATCATGGAAAAATATCACAATTTTTCTTTAAAATTCAGTTTTATGTTGTCCTTGTGCAAGGGAGTGATGAGCACAGATAGTTTACTTGACCGACATAAAATTGTAACTGCACCCCCATTTTTATTACCGTGTACATAGTTGGGAAGCCTAGTATAATATTTGCTCTAGGTGGGCATTTGTAATGAGACCACTCGTTGTCACTGAGCGACTCTAGGTCCTTCTGCTGGAACAGCTGCCCTGTCCAGCCACTCCTTCCGGAGAGACTCCTTTGGAAAGCGCTCACACGTTTACTGAACGACTACTCAGTGCAAGGCAGAAGGGTTATACTGAAGATCCGCATGACTGTCCCTGCCTCCCACAAGTCTCGAGTCTTGGAGGAGCGCACAGTGCAGTTATCAAAATGGACACCTTTGAGATGTGCTCAGATAGAGCCAGGAAGTGACACGGTGGTTAAGGGGCTAGACTTCCACATGGCTGACTGGGATTTGAATCCTGAGGCTTGAAAATCACACCAGGCACATGTGCGTGTGTGCCCAAAAACCCACGACAAGAACAGAGGAGAAGGGATGGCATCATGGTCGTCCCCATCTTGAGGGGTGATGTCTCATTTTCCCTCTCACTCTCTCTGTGTCTCTCTGGTGAGCACACATACCCTAAGGCAAAAACTTTAAAAAATTCTTTTTAAATCATTAGTGATTGTTAGTGATTATTGCTTAATTATATTAGAATTCCACTATATGATTACATTATTCAATAACTAGTACTTTTTTCATATATTTGAAATGACACATAATAGCAAATTTGGAAGTAATATTCCTAGTATACCTCTGAGATCTCTGAGTTACATCTACGATTTTTGGTTTATTTCATGACTTTTTTTTTTTTTTTTCTTGAGAAAGAGAGAGATTTTTGCTATAGGGCACATGTACTCACCAGAGAGACAGAAAGTGAGAAATCAGCCCCTGGGGGGTATGGGCACAATGCAATCCCATCTCCTCCATTCTCCTCTTGGGATTTTGAGCACGCACACACATGCACCCAGAGTGAGTTTCAGATCCAGGACCCAAAGCACTGTTGGCCAGGTGGGAGTCCAGCAATGTAACCATTATGCCATCTGCTGGGCCCTCCTGGGCTCCTTAAAACATCAGTGTGCATTCCTGTCTTTTTTATAAGCAGAGTTACACAGAGCCCTGATCACGGTCATATGAAGAAATGCCATACTGCTAATAACCCCTTCTAGACACTCTCACTACAGTATCAGCGCTGGCGGGCAGGCCTGTGGCAGAGGAGCTGGCACAGCACACAGGGAGCCCGAGCCCAAGCCCACCGCGCTGACTGAGGTTCGCAAGCCAGCCCTGTTAACTTCACGTCTGGTCCACGTGGGTGTGTCCTGGAGGAAGAGCTGGAGGAAGAAGGGCTGTGGCAAGACCTGGCCCGGGTAGGTAGTGCCTTCCAGCTCGCTCTCATGAGCACACACATGCTCTCCAGCATAAATCATTTCTTTTTTTTTTTTTTTTTTTTTTTTTGGTAGAGGTTTTTGCTATAGGGCATGTGTGCTTGCCAGAAAGACAGAGAGAGGCAGAGAGACGGAAATCTAGAAATCACCCCCTGGGGAGATGGCCATGCCGCAATCCCTTCTCTTCCATTCTCCTCCCGGGATCTTGGGCACGCACGCACACACACCTGGTGTGAGTTTAAGCCACCGGGTCCAGGACTCGTACTGCAGCCGACTACATGGGAGTCCAGCGACATAGCCATTACACCAACTGCTGGTACCGTCATAAATAAAAAACTTTAAAAAATAAAAAAATCATTGCCTGGTGCAGAAATAGGCTTCAAATCCTATCTAAAGATTAAGAATAAAAATGAAAACTCGAACTGCCATCTAAGGCTCATAGTTTTGTGTCTCAGAATCAAAGCTATCAGAAAATAATGAGTATCAGTATTTATTTTGATTTATGTTATTAAATAATCATAAAAAATAAATGATGTTTCTTCAATAATGGACAATCATTAAGGATACATAGATGTGTAAATACATCAGTATGTTTTATAAACTTATAAATTAGATAGAAGATATCTTTTTTCTCCTTTACATTATATATGAGCTCAGAAGAAAAGCAGTACTAAACTCATTTAACAAAAGCCATCAGCCAATCAAGGGTTGGCATTTCTGCTTTCCCCTTAACCTTGAGTCTCTGGTCCCTCTGGGCGATAATTTCTGAATGCTAATGAAGAAGAACGAGACAAGTCTTCTCTACTCCCAAGCCATTTTTAACTCTGATGCTCAAGAATAGACTCAAGTTTCCTGTGACACATTCCAGTGTCTTTTGGAAGTAATTGGAATATTAAAAAGTGGCCCAGTTAAAAATGCAGAGGCTCCATGCGGGCTGACCTGAGCACATCTATTCTGCTAACTGCACGGCAGGCTCCTTCAGGGTTCGAGACTTTGCCACACGAGCGGGTGCATGAAAATGCCTCTCACTTCTCAGCCCTGATTTATTGGTGAGGAAGCAGTGTCTCTAATTCAAATTTCCCTGAGTGCAGATTGATATTCAGGAGTCTCCACTGTTCATTAGTCGCGATTAATATTTACGAGCCTCTCAACGTGCATGCCTGCGTAGCATAATGAAACCCCGCACAGCCCCAGGCCTCACGTGGTCTGTGTAATATTTGTCAGTGTGTGTACTGGCGGCTGCAGGTTGAGAAATGAGAGAATTAGAACTTACTCTTAAAATCACTCTTTGACTGAAGCAGGCCTGCTGGAGGTTGAGCAGGATGGCAGCCATTTTGAAGTTAATGAAGGCCTCTGAGGGGAGTAACCTGACCAGCAGCTGAGGGACAGTTGGATGAGAGACAGGAGTGGGCATTTCCAGGAAACAGGAATCAGGATGACGACTCTGGGGACAGCGCTTGACTCTGACGGAGTGCTGCGAGGAAGGCCTTGCACGCATTTGTGTGTCTTGTAAATGCTGAACACAAGCTGAGCTTTTGAGGCGCTTCCTGCCTGTCTCCCTGTAACCAGTGGCAGAAAGTCTCTTCTCTGCCTCCACCTCTCGTTTAATTGGCTACAAGGAGCAGCAGGTAGATGTAGTTCGCAGGTGACATTACTAGGAAATGAATGTCACCAGGAGAGTGTCAGTCTCATCTGTGTGTGTGCACACGTGTGCATGTGTGTGCATATGTGTTTGTGCACATGTGTGTGCTCACACATGTGTGTGTCAGATTGGTGAGGACAGTTACAGTATCTTTTTTCCAAACCATTTTGCTTATTTTGAATGTCTAGCCATCGTAGTTCATTACGAAGTTATGAAAGGTTCGAATTTAATTAGCACTTACTGCACTAAGGTGAAAGCCTGCAATGAGTCACAGGTGGAGACTTGTCTGGGCTGAGGTAAGGGCTTTCGTTCCAGGGTGACTGGGTGTCATGATCGATTTTTCAACATAACAGACCTACGTAA